CATAAGATGCTGTAAATGTATGTAACATTCGATCACAAGCTAACCTGGTCTTAATCAGGGATACACTAGGGATACCCCGAAATCAGGTGTAATGAGACTCCAAAAACAGGTGAGCGATACTCCAAAGTCAAGAGGGGGGTACTCCTAAATCACGTGTGAGGGATACTCCAAAATCAGGTGAGGGGATGCTCCTACACTAATCAGGCGAAGAGAACTTCAAAATTAGGCGAAGGGATACTCCAAAACAAGGCGAGGATTGCTCCTAAATAATGTTAATGATCACTTGAACGTATATTTATATAAGTATTGCTCTAAAWTGCAACCAAAACTTTACGAATCAAGAAGAAAATATATTATTTCCGAAGCCTATAAACTATTGTGATTTTGAGACGGCTATACCACAAAATATTGATGTCTAGTGAACTGCATTCAGAAAACAGAAGTGGATACCAAGAAAGTGCTTATGTTCGCCATCAATCAAATGCTAATAGCCAATCGCGCGCTGAGACGACAATACCACAGCCATCTTTCGACCAAACTTGCTAAGTAGGTTATATTTTCACCGAATACGTAGTAGTACAGTATCCTACCTATAATTATTATACAGCTTCTCATTAATCCCATATAGGTAACTGTTCAATTAAGAAAATAATTGGACAGGTCTTGTTGATATGGGATTAATTAGGCAGCTATATAATTAATAGGTAATGGGATTTCATGCTACCCAATCAAGAAATTATTAGACTCGAAAAATCCTCTGACTGCCAAGTTGGAATCGGCCTACGGCCTCATCCAATTTTGGAAGTCCTCGGAATTTTCGTCGTCCAATTATTTCTTAATTGAACAGCGTGGAGTCCTATTACATATACTAATTAAATATGTATCAAGTGCTACGTAGATTTAAATAAATAATAAATTGGCGTGCTTAAGTTGGGTTCGAACCTACGTCCAGCAAAAAATGATCATAAATAAATAAATAAATAATAAAATAATAGAATAAAAAAAGGAAAAAAAAAAAAAAAAAGATTCCACTGTGCCATACTCCCGAGACATCCGCAGAGCTGAGGCGTCGTATGGACTTCGGACCTGACGGCGATTAAATCCTTCTGCCCTTGGGTGTACGAATTACGCAAGAAAATGTTCTAGCCGGAGCATCAGGGGAGAGACCAGCCGGCCCCCAGACCATAAACAGCTTGTCCCTTGCACTCTGCAACGCACGGAATCTGAGAAAADTTGATGTCAAAAAGTCTAGTCTATTCGGTGCATTGTTTTCTCRGCTATTGTTATGCTAATTCCATGGAATCGTGGCCGAGTGGAAAAAACTTGGGCWMAARAGGAGTCAAGCCGGTTGAGGKAGGTTAGTACCTGGATGGGTGACCTAAACTTTACCATTTGTCCTCAAAGGTACGTTTATTTCTTTTATATATATATATATATACACCATGATCACTTTGAAAATGGGATTCGTTGTGGTTGGGGAATAGTCGGAAATTGAAATAACAAAATCAATATCCAGCACGAAATATCGAACCTGCACCATTTTATTGTCACCACATATTTTAGAGCCCAGTCTTAACCGTACAATACGTACCAGAACAATTTAAAAAGATTAGAAATTGAAATATGGCAGAAAAATAATCTAACTTGGCATTTACTAATTGTAGRTAAATTTTATGAAGTGCACCTTCCATCAACGAGGCTACAATAATTTTGTCATATACATATCTATCAATCGACCAACATTTTTGAGTTAGACGTTGCACAGGGTTGACCTCGATTTTTTGTAGAGAATATTCATGTGTTCCAGTGAAGGTCTGTGAAATTTCAAAAAACTTGTATTGTTAACGCTAAGCATTCTTTACTTTATCGTTGGTATTCGTGAATATCCTGAAGCTGAAATAAGGCTAAACCTGAGTAAATGAGTCTGTAATCAAGTAACACAGTGGTATWAATATGACCAGTGGTCGGCCGCTTRACAGAGATTGGCCGCTTRATAGTTGGTGTTCGATTAATAGAGTCTACTGTGTTTTGTTGCATCCTCGTGTATGGCGGCCGGAAAAAATTCTACTTGTAGTTAATAAAACTCTAACATTATAAGTCCAATTCCATGTCTGAATGACCTATCGTCTATCGCCTTTAAAGAGGCACTTGGATGAAAACACCCCAATTTTTGAAAGTCCAAATAATTAAAGTATTTGAGGACAATATGACTCAATTATGACTATGTAAACATGATTAGTGAAGATTTTAGCCTGGGAGCCACTTGCTATTGAGAAATTTTGGCTCAAAAACAAAAAGAACCATAGGGTTGAGTAAATGATGTCATTTACTCACAACTTAGATGCTGAATGAAATTGTTCAATTTTATCCCACATGCACTTTTTACTGTGAAGAAAATATGTTGCTTGGCTACTATAGGGGCCATATAGATAAGTTTAGCCAAGTTTCAAGTCACTTTCAATTTTCATCTATTTTCGTCCAAGTGACCCTTTAATGATGACAACTTTTATTGAAATTATTGAAAAGGATTTCAGTATATATACTAGTATTTTATATCTATGCATGCAGTCTCAGTAGCCCACACAAGTTAAACGACTGCTTAATCGTTTCCATGGTAAACTGAAAACCCGCTGTAATTACGTCAGCAGTGTCCTTGTTGCTATAGTAACCAAGTTTTGTATGATTCCCTTAAATATMTATTTGTTTTTTATAAAGAATATTGTATGTCGATTTCATGTTTTCGTTTTGCGTAATTCTTCGATTTTCCAGATCGTTTCTCGTTTTCAACTTTAATGACTTGCTAATTTTAAAAGCAMAAAATAGACAAATATATATACTTGTTACAGACCACGTGATCATATGCCGCCATATTGAACAGCAATCTRAAACCTGAAACAGCAACATCTTGATCCTAATTGCCCCCATGAATATTATACAAGATTGAAATTGATTTCAATGGCCATTTAAAATGGCGGGCGACAATGAACAAGTGATCATTTCTCTATATCAAACGATAACTTATAACTTATAAATTGTAATATTAAACTTAAACCAATATMTCACTCTTAGACTAAGGTTTTTAAGGAAATTCACATGAGCCGAACCTAATGACATCAAAGARGACCGCCTTGTTATCCATTGYTTCASTTAGGTTCGGCTCATGTAAAGTTCGACGTTTGACCTGAGCCAAAGGTCAACATTCTTCATTGATATTTTTTAGAAGCCGCTGTCCAGACAACGAGTGCCCATCCCGATACTTACCGTGACCGTGACACGTAAAGTTATACGAAATTTACTTTGAACAAAAAAATAATCTAAATGAAGTATGTCCTATTTGGTGGGTTTTGTTCCGCTTTCTGGGTCCTCAGTTCCGCCATACTTCTTGGTCGTATTGTTCTGTAAGGCTTTGTTTATCGAGCGTTTCGTCGTGGCCCACCGACATGCGCGCCAAGGTGCCATGACTGTATGCTCGTAGATRTCTGTTACTACGTTGGCATAGCAACCGTCACGTGGACAGCATAGAAGAACTAGTGGAAAGTAAAACAGTGATATTCATAATAATTTGTCTTATCARCCATAGATTTAATAAATATGWTCCGAGCTTTYGGCYTACTCGGCCATCCTCAGGGAAATGAAAAACGTTACAATTGGCAAAGAAAAACGCGATCAAACCATGGCATATGTGCGCGCGCATTAAATTAAACCAAGAGAATATGAACTAAGAGAAGGAATCCCCCCTATAAAGCCTTGTATYCATCATGTGCACAGTTTGATGCTATTTTTAGCTTGGACATATTTTGAGCGAAGAACYTGATTGGTTGATTTTTTTAGGGTAGGCGGCTTCCAGTCTTGCAGTAAACAAAAGCCTGTGTTTTTGTCGTGGACGTAAAAAAATATGGGGCTTTTCGTGTCCTAAAACGAGGCATTAAAGGAAGCATGATTATCGCACGGGCATGGTAATGAGTTAAAGATAGAATCAATGATTCTAAAAATAGCATCAAAGTGTGCACATGATGGGGCACGGGATTCCTTCTCTTAGTTCATTTTCTCTTGATTAAACAAATTCGCGCGCGCTTAGGAAAAAAATAAAACAAATTAATTAATTAATTAAAAATAAATAAATAAATGAATAAAAAAAAAAAATAAATAAATAAAAGTGATATTGTTTTAACTATCTCGAGGCTGGGTAAAAGAATAGTTTGCTTTGAATTTGCAGTGCATTTTGTAACTCTTTCAGGGGACAAAACTAACTAAAGACGYCATATTAGAAATATGTCCTCTAAGACAGTATTCCCACAATGCACTGCAATMCCAACTCGACCCAGTCTTTTCTTAACCTCGGAACGGAAATTTGTCTTTCGTGAAAAATCATAACTCATATTCAGCAAATATAACATACTTATTTTCCAAGTCCTTGGTACTTACAGGGTATCATGAGCAACCATAGAATCATTCCAAGCAGACAGATAATCAAAAATATGGGCATAAAAATTATAGAAAAGATAAACCGCTGACAAGAATATTCGCTGTCTTTGTCCTCGGCACCAGCTTCYTCTCCGACAAGCGGGTGCTTAGAGGGGGATCCAATGGGGGAGCTGTAACTTCTACCTGAAGGGGAAAAAAGGATATAATGAATAATAAAAAGTGAATCAAGATTCACACAAAGATGTTTATGCTCCCTGCACCGGTCAAGTGTTGATTGACCGCAGACCTGGCGCGTGGGATCAGTCTTATCGAGTGGCTCTTTATTGAGGACTATTGAAAACGGAATTTACAGAAAACAGCAAGAGAATAACACAATAGAGAAATACAGAGATGTAAACCCGAAATATCTAAGACGTAAATAAAAATATAGAAAGTCAAAATTTCTTGATGGGTTGCCTGTGTGTTAATRATTTAAAATCCTGTATGGCTATCTTTTTTYATGSACAATAAAATTACGTTTTACAACTAAGAAAATTACTAGTTCTTAATGTATTCTAACCCGAAAGAAAAGAATTTTTCGTTTGCAATAGACGTCATAGCCGCCATGTTGGAAGAATTTGACAAAAGATTTTTCAATGAATTCTTTTGTTATATCTTCCAACATGGCGGACATCCCTTTTGTTATTGTGCTCTCTTGGGATTGATTRCAAACCAAGAATAAATCTTAAGCTATGTACAGCCGCAGATTTAGTCTAATGAGAAAATGATTGGAAATGTCGCAGACATGACACTCGTAAAAATTCTCTATTTTGTCCTCTACTAACTATGATTTTGTTTAGTATCTATGTATGAGTTTTGTATCGCCAGCATTACACGRACATAATTGGTTTCCGATAGCAACTTAAGTGCAAGGCAATATTAGCGGAGAAGCAGCGGAGATAAAACACAATTCCTGTATCATTATCAGGAATACCTACTTTTTTGGTTTTCTGAAGATTCCGCCATTACTTCCAAGCGTAAAGCGATCAAAAACCCAACGTGATTCAAATTTTTGCTTGGACTGGTCTTTTTGTTTGTAGTTGGGAGTAGCATATGTTACCGGAGAAACGATAAAAAATTTATACGACTGCACAAAGTGGTTGAGACGCCGCCACAATTGCGGATGGGAAACCAGAGTCATATCAAAATGGGAAGTCATTGGTTGAGATTTCTTAGAGTTTGATTAAAACTATTTAAAATTACTCAATGAAATATCATTGAGCATTGCTGGCAACATTGATTCRAATACCGCAATAGTCTAGTCGTTTAAACTCAAGCCAAATAGACAATATACTCATACCTTGTTAAGAAAAAAGTTGGTTGTTTTGAAAAGGATATTCGCGCAAAGCTGGCATTAATTCTAAGTGGTTGATAGGGATCTATTGTACGACATTTTGACTTTAGGGTCTGAAGCAGATTGAAGGCAAAGCTTCTAAAACAAAGTCAGTATGTGTATAAGTCTTAGAGAAGCTGCAGTACGAGTAAATGAAATGGACTACCGCAATTAAGCCGACCGGCAGATAAACAAATAAACGAAAAAATATATATAAACAAAACAACAAGAAAAAAATGAACCTAACGAAGGAAAACGAACAAATAGGATAACAGAAGAGCATGTAAAAACACTAGCAAAGTATTGTAATGATTTGTGAATGAGCAATTAAATAAACAAACAAACGAACGAACGAWCCAAAAAACAAATAAGAATCAAGAACAAACAATCAGTCTATCATTTAATCTCCTAAAATAAAAATAAAGGCTT